AACAAGAAGGCAGCAATCAATACCAGTCGAACAAGAGCAAAAAAGCCAAGGTACAAGCTGAATACTTAGAGGTAAACAAGCAAGTGAAGAGGAGCATCAGAACCGACAAACGTAAATATGTGGAAGATTTAGCAACGACGGCGGAAAAGGCTGCAAGAGAGGGAACATGAAACAACTGTATGACACGACAAAGAAACTCTGGAAATTGCCGCAAACCAGAACGACCAGTCAAAAGCAAGGAGGGCGAGGTAATCACCAACATTGAAGAGCAACAAAACAGGTGGGTAGAACACTTCAAAGAACTGTTGAATCGACCAGCTCCACTGAACCCACCCAACATCGAAGCAGCACCCACGGACCTCCCAATCAATGTTGCCCCACCAACAATTGAAGAAATCAGCATGGCCATCAGACAAACCAAGAGTGGCAAAGCAGCAGGACCATACAACATTCCAGCAGAGGCACTGAAAGCAGACGTAGCGGCAACTGCAAGGATGCTCCACATTCTCTTCAATAAGATTTGGGATGAGGAACAAGTACCAACAGACTGGAAAGATGGACTTCTGACCAAAATACCAAAGAAAGGTGATCTCAGCAAGTGTGATAACTACAGAGGCATCACTCTGCTGTCAATACCGGGAAAAGTCTTCAACAGGGTATTGTTAAACAGGATGAAGGACTGCGTAGATGCCCAACTTCGTGACCAACAGGCATGATTCCGTAAGGATAGATCGTGTACAGACCAAATCACAACTCTACGGATAATTGTGGAACAATCAATTGAATGGAATTCATCACTCTACATCAACTTCATTGACTATGAAAAAGCATTTGACAGCGTGGACAAAACAACATTATGGAAGCTTCTTCGATACTACGGCGTACCTCAGAAGATAGTCAATATCATACAGAGTTCGTATGATGGATTACACTGCAAAATCGTGCATGGAGGACAGTTGACAAAGTCGTTCGAAGTGAAGACCGGTGTTAGGCAAGGTTGCTTACTCTCACCCTTTCTCTTTCTCCTGGTGATCGACTGGATCATGAAGACGTCAACATCCGAGGGGAGGCATGCAATAGAGTGGACAGCTAGGATGCAGTTGGAGGATCTAGGCTTCGCAGATGATCTGACTCTTCTATCGTAAACGCAACAACAAATGCAGGGGAAGTCGACCAGTGTAGCAGCAGCCTCAGCAGCAGTAGGTCTCAATATACACAAAGGGAAAAGCAGGATTCTCCGATACAACACTGCATGCACCAATCCAATCACAATTGACGGAGAAGATTTGGAAGATGTAAAAACCTTTACGTATATTGGCAGCATCATTGATGAATAGGGTGGATCCGATGCAGATGTGAAGGCGCGGATCGGCAAAGCAAGAGCAGCATATTTACAACTGAGGAACATCTGGAACTCAAAGCAACTGTCAACGAACACCAAGGTCAGGATTTTCAATACAAATGTCAAGACAGTTCTACTGTATGGGGCAGAAACCTGGAGAACTACGAAAGCCATCATCCAGAAGATACAGGTGTTTATTAACAGTTGTTTACGCAAAATACTTCAGATCCATTGGCCGGACACTATTAGCAACAACGTACTGTGGGAGAGAACAAAACAGATCCCAGCGGAGGAAGAAATCAGGAAGAAGCGCTGGAAGTGGATAGGACACATATTAAGGAAAGCACCGAACTGCGTCACAAGACAAGCCTTCACATGGAATCCTCAAGGCCAAAGGAAAAGAGGAAGATCAAAGAACACATTACGCCGAGAAATGGAAATAGACATGAGAAAAATGAACAAGAATAGGATGGAACGAGAAAAGAAGGCCCAGGACAGAGTGGGTTTGAGAATGCTGGTCAGCGGCCTATGCTCCATTGAGAGTAACAGGCATTAGTAAGTAAGTAAGTAAGTAAGATAGAAATATCTGAAACTTGGGTATCTTCTCAATTCTCGGACCAGGAGCTAGCAACACCTGGGATGTCTTTGTTACGCAACGACAGAAAAACAGGAATTGGAGGTGGAGTAGCCGTATACATACTGCTTCGGTCTGGGCATCCGAGCTGTATCACAGCCCGCACACAAATATGATGAACTGTTGATAATTATGGAAAATACTTTTCTTGCTTCAACTATTAATCAAACGATTCACATTATTATTATTACTATTGTTATTATTTACTACGTCATTTATTCACTCTTTTATTCCTACTCTGTCTATCCTTATTTTTCGACTTATGCAGCAGCTCGTTTATGGTGGAAATTCGGTTCTACCTAAACGTTCTCGAGTAGAGACGTTATCAGATATGGCTCAGAATAGAAGCCAGTGGCGATCCTGCTGTAACCTTTTACTTTCTTCATAAAAAGTGGTTGCTTCTTCCTTAACGGGAAAATTCTTCTGGTTGTACTTTTCTGTTTTCCCATTATTATTATTACACTAATCTGTTCGTTATCGTTTTTTTACGCTCCTTACGTTTTTTTCCTTCACTGCAAATTCTCATTGTTTTGTGTGGCGCATATATATTTGGTGCTCTCCTGTACCAATACTTATGTGTTTAAATAAATAAATAATACATACGATCTTGCTTGGAGGTATACCAAGTTCACAACCATGAGTTTAACAATCTTGATGAGTTATTATGGTGCTCTGTAAGATTGTCTACTACTTTGAGGTGCCTAGTCGGAGTCAAATATAGGAAGCCCACTGCTGACATCGAGTATGACAGTCGTATGCTGGAAGGACTATCCCGCTCTACGCGTCTCGGTTTCACTCATATCCTGATTCTGGGGGACTTCAATCTCCCTAGAGTCAATTTCGCGGAACATACGTATATTGGAGGTGAAAACTCAACTGAAGCTCGGTTCTTCAACCTCATTGAGAATTTGGGATTACACGAAAATGTGAAGTCGGCAACTCGTTGGAGAAAGTCAGACACCATCGCGCTTAGATTGTGTATTTACAGACGAAGGATTTCTAGTTGACAACCTCTCAATCCTGGCTCCCCTGGGGGGAAGCGATCACGCTGTTATAGCTTTCAGTTTTGTCAGCAAAACTGAGCTAAGATATCCCACTAACAACAGGCGCTGGAATTTCAAACGGTTGAATGTGTCAGCTCTACGTATCCAACCGCGAGCCACGAAATCAGTTCGAAGACTCAGATTTAAACCTTATGAAGAGCGCCTCCAATCACTAAACCTTTACCCATTAGAGTATAGGCGTCTTAGAAGTGACCTTGTAATGGCTTACAGTATCCTTAAGACTTCTGGACATCCTCTTAAACACCTACTTAAGCTTAGTCCCAACACTAACATAAGGGATAACACCCAGAAATCGGAGATACAACATAGCAGAACGGACTGTAGACACAACTTCTACTCCTTAGGAGTTGTCAGATGCTGGAATTCGCTGACGGCCGAGCTAGTCCAAGCGACTTCCCAGGAGTCCTTTAAGAGGCGACTCGATTTATTCTTATGGTCTAAGGATAGTATCATACTATGATTTATTAATTTCCGTTTCCTCTTTTATCGTTAACAAATCCATGTTCTTGCCTGGAGATTAAGTGTATAAACTTACGTATTTTATGGTGGTTTATGGACACTAGTTTCATTTCTGAAACTAATTTTGCAAAGCAGCAGAGCATTTTCTGTTACAAATGTTTTCTGTGTCACGAGGGTTTCAAGTTGTTGATGTGATGTATAATCCATATTCCTTTCTCTCCTGGAATTTATATATGCATATGTATAACCTTTCACATACGTGTTTCCGTAGATTTCAAAAGCGTACTGGCTCACCGTTATTTTATTAGTTGGTCGACTATTAGTTGCTGATTTCCTTTTTCCCGAAGAACAAAGTGCTGAAATTATAGTGGATAATAGTTACCGTTGCTTTCGTGTAAGACAATGTGGTATCACACAGTTGTGGGTTATACAGAAAGATTCACCCACGAAGTCTTTGTGCCTAGTGGTGATGAGTCACCAGTGCCAACAATTTGCGACCTTGGCACATGAAAATAAACAGCCGAAGTAATGTACTGTGTATTTGTGAGGCACTATGTTTACTACTAGACAGATAATGAATTTCTTTCCTAAGGACTTCAGAAAATTTGCTTAGACTATTCAATTCAAGTGAACAATACTCAAGAGGTTAATTGTATACTATTGGTTTACCCTAATTTTAGTCAGGAGTGAATTAAAACATGATCTGATGATTTGAAACATTTTTTCAACTGTGCTTTGGTGTATGCTACTTATGCTGACGGGTAGAATTAGTATGTAGCAGCAATCGAAAGTGGAGTGCCTGATTGGCAGCAGATTGAAATAAAAAGAACAGGAGAGGAAACAGAGGAATTGTAATAAAAACAATTGGTAGAATCGTGAAGGATAAATGAAGGAAGATTTGCGGATAATGTACTTATTGTATGATTTTCATGTTTTATGAACGCATTCTGTAGTTTTGCACTGAATAATAAATAGGTTTTCCCCACTTGAGTTCTCGTTTACCACGATACCATCCCTGTCTTATATGGAATAATAATTGTAGCTCACTTTCCCACTTTTAGTGTTCGATATTCATACTTCTCCTAAGTGTTTTGTTTTCTACAAAGAAGGGTAAGAAAACCCTTAAACCTCTGATTAGCCATTTGTTATTTTTGACTTTTAAGATATCTCAGCACAAGATTTAGGAACTGTTTGTTCAGCCATATAGACTCTGTGTTATGAGATTTCTCAAAAAATAATACTTAAGAGGGATGTATAATCTTCCTGTGAAAGGCTGATTTATTTGAAATGAAAACTGAGTAAAATACGTCATACAATTTACATGAATAATCTTTTTACGCTCTTCATATATGTTTGTATGACGACGTACTCAAAATCATAAGGGTAACTCATCTGGAAATATTAGTGCCGTTTCGGCAGCCATTAGCAACCATAATAGGGTATTGTACACTTTATTCCTATCTGTAACTTGTTTTTAGGATATGATTGGTTGTTTTGGATAATGTCTGATGTGTTCAGGGATGAATTCAACGCGGATACAAGTAATATCTATTTAAAAACCACTGCTCTCATACAACATATATTATCTGCTACACATGAAGAAGAGCAGGAGTTAAAATTATCAGGTGATCGGGCAGCTCAACTACGAGAAGTCAATAACAAGTTACGTGAACGCGTTACGAACGATGAGAAGCAGGTGGATTGTATGATATCTAGATTACAGACCGTGAAGCGGACAATCGAAGAGTTACGTGCTTCTATTGAGAAATCTAAATCAATTAAAGTGGGTTTAAATAGCTTGTAAGAATGATGCATTATAAATCGGCATTATTTTCTAGATGTGATTTTCATAAAAATCCTGGTGTTTATAACTTTACAGTCTTAATTAAAGTCTGAACTAATAGTGTGTCTTCTCACTTCAGTTCAATAGGTCAAGAAACTAATATCTACTATCGGTTTTACTTAGTCACAGTCACAACGTAGAACCTGGTACGTACATACATTGGTTTATGACGCGAATTCCTGGAGTAATAGATGTAGTAACAGTATCAATGGTAATAATAATAATAGGCATCGTAGATACGACTCAAAAAGAAAATGTAAATTAGCGAAATAAAAACAAAAATAAGTTGTGAGGAACTTATAATGTTAGGATTCGGGTTAGTCAAAGAATAAATGCACCTGTGTTGTTCCAAACGATTTTGAGCCATGCCATTCACAATCACAAAGACTCCAACCAGTTAGTCCATAACTATTCACAACGCTAAGCCCGGTTGGCAGTGGAATAATGCCATGTTTGGTTTGGCTACCCTTGGCTTTCTTCCAACCTTCTCCTGATCCAGAAAACCACCCGAGGTAGGCAGTGGTTAGGCATACGTAACACCTCAGTTGACGAAGACTTACTAACTCATCGATCGATTTTCCGTCTTTATCTAGAACTCTATTCCTAACTCAGTCATTGCTTACTCCGTGGTTCCAAAATACGCTAGCAGTCCTTCGTAGATACCTATAGTAGTCGTATACCAATAACCTACAAACATTCTCTATTCTTAATGACCATTTTTCACACCTATAAATTAGGACGGAGCAAACTGTCAAGCAGTAAACTCGTCCTTTGTTTGGAAGACGAATATCTCGCCTACACCACTATTTGATGCAAGTCTTCAAAAAACCAATCGAGCCTTCAAAATTTGTGCCAACTTTTCGTCACACACCAGACCATCAGCACTGATGGGGATTCCGGTATAAGTGGTGGTCGACACACTCGATAATTCACTCTCTATCACTAATTCAGACGCAGATGCAAGCCAATCCTGAAGTAAAATTTTGCATTTGGAGGAAGAAAACCGCATCCCGAACATGCTAGCATGTTTGCATAAGGTGGACGGTAAAATGCTTTTTGTTAGCGTCTTCGCCATACAGAACTATATCATCTTCGTACTACAGGTCAACAAGTAAACCTCCTGATAGATCAACTTTGGAAAGTCATGATATGGAAGTATTACCTTTAAAAGCATTCCTATGACAAAATTAAATGAAAATGAGGGAAGCGGACAATCTTGACGAACACTACTTGAAGTGATCAACTTCCATAAAATTTCGCCATAAGCTCTGACTCAAGCATTAGTGTTCGAATAGAGAGTCTGTACAGTGTTAACGTGCTTCCAGTTGATTGGTCACTGGCTAGTAACTAATTTTTTGTCAGGTCCTTAGTGCAGATCGATCAGATTGCAATGTGAATACATCTCAGTCCTAGAAAAGGTCAGTTGCAGCCCGGATAGCTCCGTGGTAACATCTGAGTGTGAGGTTGTGTGACATGGAATCGAATCCCCCAGGGAGCAGTGCTTTCCGCGGGATTACAGTTGCACCTTAATGACGAGTGTCGAATGGCACAAAACGTGGGTTTCCTATCGACTGCACCCAAACACCTTACGTTAATGCACTTCTTTAGTATCCCTTTGAATGACAACTACTGCCATAGTATCTCGATCAACGGAGCCGAACGCCACCCTAAGGTCAAGAAATAAATCTTGTTGGATATCCAGAAGTATGCCTGTTCCAGAACCTCCCGAAGGGTAAATATTTGGTCTATATATCCACATCCAGGTTTGAAATCGATCTGGTTTTTTCGGGTTCGCTACTCACGAACTCTACTTAGACGTCAAAGTGTTATTGAGACTAATATTTTAAACACTATATTGGTTAAACTGATTCCTCTGTGATTATCACAAGATTTTTGTTCTTATAAACTGAGATGATCAGTCAGATGAGATTTCATCCATTTCCCAGATTCTAGCGAAGATCTCAGTTGATTTGACTGCTGAAACTGGACCATCATCCTTAAAAGATCTCAAGGATTAGTCCATCAAGTCCTGTTGCCCTCTCTGGCTTTAGATTGCTTATAGTATTTCCAACCTCACTAAGAGTTGGAGAACTTACATCAGTTTGCCATTCATGTTGCATGAAGATAGTGGGTAACTGTGTCAGTCAGTCAGCTTCAACGTAGGTCTAGGCACATATTTTCATCAGTCCAAGTTGAAGTGTGACGAAAGGCCTATCGAACTGTTCTCCAAAGTGTTCTGCTTATCGGTTTAATCTTCTGGATTGAGAACGAATAATGGTCCCGTCTTTCTCCGAAACAGTTTCACTGACAGCCGTATTCCTTGCTTCGGTTTGGGCACCCGGGCAATATCACAGCCCTCACACAAATTAAATTTTTGTGGCGTATATGTATATGTATTCCTAAAACCCGTTTCCTTGATAAGTCTGAACAGTTGTCTGCTATTGCCTACCATTGCTCACGATCATTACGTAGGTTTCTAACCAGCCTACGTTAAGGCTGCCTCCAGTCCTCGTCGTTTTTTCAGCAAGACGGGATGAATTTCCAAGAATCTATCAGTTCTGTAGACACCGCTGAAGTCCACTGGTTTTCCTAGCCTTTTGGTTTAAGTTACTGGTAGATATCACTGCTGTTTCCACAGCTTTGTGGATGCCATACACAATTACCTCGAATCGGTGTTCATCTTGTTCTGATAATTAAGTGTGGCAACTTAAACCAATGCATACATGTGCCTGGTCCTACGTTGCAACTCACTGACCTCGAAATGGATATCATTTTGACTAGTTTCTTCTCCAGTTGTTCCTGAAATATTTTCTTATTTTTTTTCATGATCAATTTGTACTCTAAGGAGTTTATTCGCTGTGGCTTCTCTACGTCCAGTAAGATACGTGGCCGAATTAGAGCATAAACATATGCTTCAGACAATATAGCTCGGTTGAATCGCCACGATAAACAAGACCGACCACCACATCTAAGTAGCAACTGTAGTCGGGTTCATTTGACGTAATTATCGTAAATAAAAATTGCGGTACGTCATTTCTTAGTTCTCCAGTGGAAACAAAACAAACACAACTAAAAAATGAGCTTCATTTTACATTACTGATCAACGTACTTGCCAAAACTTAATTGCAAATTTAACGGTATTATTTTACAACCATTGTACCTATCACACGTGTGCTTTATACTTTTCAACTAAACCGCATATAAATTTGGTTTGCTTGTCCTCCTAGATCGCTTATTTGAAACAAATTGAATCTGAAAATCCTCCTGAAGATTCATTTTTCCCATGTGAATTCGAAAATTCTACACTGATGCAAGTTTATAAAATGATCCAACCATTCGAACGCCTACTTGGAATCCAAATACAGAAAACGCACTCTGGGCTACTACAGTTGCTATTTCATGGTTGTTCAGAAGCGCTGGTTAGTAGTGATGAAGTAATTGTATGCTGTTGTCAACTTCGTATAGTAAATACTAATCGCTTTGAAGTCGTGTTGTGTGATCCACCCGTACCGGATCTAGAAAGGCTTGTAAACCACCTGAATTGGACTGAAGATATACGGAGTTTTATTATTGTATTAAGACAACGTTTTTGTCGTTACTTTGAATTAGCTGCAGCAGTTTCGAATAAATTAAGCTCTGAATGACTAATGTGTTAATGAGCATTCTGACAGTGTACTCTGATGAACCTTTGCTATGCATGAATTTGTCATAATTTATGTTCATCTTGCGCTTATATCTTATAAAAAGTATATATATATATATATATATATATATATATATATATATATATATATATATATATATATAATCTATGTGATTATTTTTTCCCAGCCGCGCAACCACGTGAAATTGGAAATAATAATAGTTCGTTTGGTATGAAAATCCGCTTACGGTTAGCCATGGAAGTAGTTGGTTTATAAATAAGTGTAAAAAGTTGGACTATTTGTTTTTTAGCGGTGAAATTTTGAATCAATCGCTCCTTTCACTGTTAAAACTCAACAAAGTATCTGCTATTTAGACGAAACTGGGACCTGTAGCTTAACATCTGTGACTAAATGTCTTAACAAACGTTCTGTTGGATTGGAAGGCTTTTCTCTGGGTTAAAATAGCTAAGCAGAGATAATTAAACTCATGAAACAACGATGATTCAGAAGCGTGTGAAGAAAATATCCCACAAACAATTCAAATCCAGAATAATCAAAAACGCTTGGCGAACTATTCTTGGAATTTTCGATCTTAATAGAAGTTGTGTAATACGAAGTAGATATAGACACATGACTAGAATTTCCTCTAGAACTAATGCTGTCTATGAACTACTAACTGTGGAGACCATAGGCGATAAAGCTCAAGACCGGTGGCAATAGCACGTGTTTTCCTCCTTGATTTTCCACTAAGTTCGGAATTGTGGAATTCTTTATCTTTGTATTTCATCAGTAATAATTCTTCTTAAGCTTAGGTTTTTAAAGTGAAATACAAAAGTTCACATAGCAGTTCATATTAAGTTCACGTTGACGTTTGCTGCGTTAGAATTTTTTCACAAATTGAGGCAAGTTAAGATCACATGAAATAGATCTGAACTGTATTTGTATATGTCAAAATGTAAGTGACAGTTAACTTTATTGAACTACGTTCCATTACTTACAGTTTCGATTCACATGGAGCACTTAGTGTATAGAGCTTGAAGAGTTAAGTACCTGTACGATTTTTAATGCTTACATGTCTGTGATAAGTTCAGACCATATCTATTCGTACAGACATACAACCCAGTATTTGTGAAATCATTAGGTAATGTATTTAAAAACGAACATGAAATGACTTGCCACACTTCATTGGTTTGTCGTTTCATTTTGAAGTCTAGAAAATTTCACAGGATTTTTATAGAAGTCATATTACGCAAAATCAGTGATTAATTTGCAGAAAAGCAACAAAAAAGTCACTAGTAAAATAATGTGATGTAAAATAAATTACAGCCAAATATTATTGCATGTTGCACAAGTTTAGTATAAAAGTAGGTAAGTCGATTTACATAAAGTTTTGGAATGTTATGAAATAGAAAGTTGATAGAGAAAGCATAACTTAACAATATAAGCATGGGATATAAAATAAAGTTATTAGATCACAGAGATAAAGTTGAGTTGTTGGTATGTTATCACTGAATTGTGCACCTATGTCAAAGATCCTGAAATTCAAAGATGTTGAGATTATTTACATAATATGATAACAGTTGACTGCTAAAATTATTAGTTTATCCGAAAAGCTTCATTAATCGTAGCAATGGACAGTAAAATCGCTTAGACAAAATGCATTGCTGAATTAACACCTGGCATACAAATTCTACTTTAAAAATAGGTGATTAAAACATGCTGTTTGCTATTTAGATTCAACATACAAGCTTGTCAATCAGATTATAGTACGTTTCGCTCTCGATGCAGATGTCCATTTTAATGACGTGAGGATATACGTAAATTTGAGTAATAACTTTGGTGGCAAATCGGTGTACACTAGTCGATAATTACTAAAATTGCTCGCTAACACACAACACGGCATATGTTATTTGGGTCCATTGATATACCTTACAAACATTCCTGCTACTAAACATTGTTATAGACACTGTAGACAACGAGAGTCCATAAAAGTAATTACAACTTACATGCGGAATTGAATTAAGAAATGCAAAATGTATGTGTAGATACCGGAAATATTAATTTTATTTCGCTGTCAAGTGAACGAATAGGCGCACCATTTTGTACGTGATAATCAATAAGATGTTGTATGCTATCAAATACTCGTTCTTTTGTACGTACCTGAAATTTGTCAAAAACATGCATATAAGATCTAGGCCAGTTCAAAATTTTAATAAACATAATTTTCCAACATCCAGAATTCACAATTTTTTTCCCCATAATGTGGATACAAATTCCTCAATTTGATACTAGTCAGAAACCGGTAGTGTTGCAGCAAGCTCCTCTTTAATGATATTTTTTGTTTAATACATCCAAAGTAACCAGCCTTAGTTCCCTCAGAAGACAACGTGGAAAATGCACCAACAACTGTGATATTTCCACTAGTTTTGTGAAATAATGTGATTACATTAGGTGGTTACTACACATAATTAACGGGTCAAAGCAAGTTTAAGATAGTGAAAATCGCCCCGATATTTGTAATGTATTAACTACAAGTTTATTATACAAATACTATCAATTGAAATGTAACATTGAATTTTATTCGTGGAACTTTTGTAAGCGTACACTAGAGGTTGAAATTAGATGAGTCCAAGAGTTTTTTTTTGTAATTGAACTTGAGCTACATTTGTTTCGGAAAAACCACACGAATCGAGGTGATGAAATCAAGATTCAGACTCCTAACCATATGGTTGGAAATCGGGTGTTTAAATTAACGAAATACTGTGGCTGATAGATCTGTGTCAGGCAAAACGAAATTCGATCTGACGGTTGTTTAGCTGATATCGTACAATTAGATCTATCTCCAACATGCTAACCTAAAGAATATCTTGCTAGATTTTTAGCAGATAAATGAAATTTTGTTTGCAAACATGGTGTGGTTAATGAAGTTGCCTTAAACAGAATATTACCTTTCCATTGGGATCGGCCAGTAACAAATGTCTATATTTTCCGTCTTGAAGGCCGCTTAGTACAAACTGACCAGGCTGCTGAATGCTAGCACGTACAAGAAAATCCCCATCATAACGCAACAAATTTTCGGCTTGTGATCTGGACATTTTACCAACATACCAAGGTTCACCTACTGGTTCTAAATGTTCAAAATTTGGAAGTTCAACTGGTGCCTTTACATTAGACATTGATTTGACACCAGCGACTTTATTAATGTTGCAGGAAGGCTGTTGTGTTAAATCATTTTGATTAGATTGGGTGGAATTTTTTGTAGTGCCACAGGATGGCTTATTGCATTCTGCATTATCAGTTTGATTACCCGAAGAAAGTTCGTTACCAAGATGCCCTGCGTATAAAAATAGTAAATATATATAACCTTGTGGTACATAATCTAAGGTGGAGTCAATTGTAGCAATCTGTGTCAATGAAAAATAATTATGATCACGTTAACATGCGTATTTCCTCATCAAAAACCTAAATTAATAAACGTCATTATAAAAGTTAAAATGATGCCAGCATAGATATAAGTTAGAAAAATGATGCTCAAGTATTGGAGCGAAATCAATTAAATGAAAAAGTAGATAATTTGACCATTTATAATTTAATTGATAGTATTTATTCAAAACAAAAAGTACATTATTAGACAATCCAAGTACACAAGGACAAACTGTTTCACTATTTTAATCTGATGTAGTTGCTAACACGGGTGAATAAATATACTAATGGAGAATGATCCGTAGTACAGATGAATTTATTTCTAAATATTTACATCGATGGTTCAGATAGTTTGATTTTATTCTAGGGAACTGAAGTGAACGCTATACTATTAACAACATATCATGGACGATGACACTGGAAGGAGATACTACCACGTTTAACATCCAAAATCGACAATGGGGATAATTTAGCTGAATTGAATGACTGTGCATTCTGTGTCCTGGAAGTCCTTCCTATTGGGACTTATAAGCAAGGACTACTGTGAATTAGGAGGAAAAGTTTTAAGATTTAAGTCGTTTGGTATTGCAGGACTTAATATGCAAGCGTGAGTTAAAGTAATAAAATAATTGTTACTTCGTGAATATTAAGTCATTTGATACTATCCTGCTTTTAAATGAATTGAACAAAAGGATTTTGAAAAAAAAACTACTTATTAGTCTTTACTACATCAAACATTTACTTTCTGTTCTGATTTTGTTTCAAAAGTGCATTTATTCATGACACCTATATTTTTGAAATAAAACAAATTGCTTAATAATGAATAAAAATAAACATTACATGCACTATCTTCAAAATCCATAAAATTATCAAAAGCTACTGGTTGATGAGTAACATTATTATCAGGCATAGAAGTATTTTGATTTAATGTCGTATTCTCTTTTGATAGGGAATTACTGGTATTGGCAGATACCTGGAAGAAAATAAACAATATTGTAGAGAAGAGTAATATTAATGAAAATTTAAAATATAATTTAATAGTAAGTGAATAATCCACTTTCAAATAGGGGAAAATATCACACAATTTTAAAATCAATGAGATAAATGAGTAGGAATATACAGTCTATGTGTAATGTAAAACCTGATCTCAACAGGTATAGATGAATTTATGAGCAAGAACAAAGATCGGTGCAGAATAATATGAATTCATTTTATTTCGTTAGGTTCTCAGCTGCTCACAACCTAAAATATTTGAAAATCAGAGTTATTACAGTTATTGACATACAGATGAGAGGGTGATTAGGGAGGAATATATGTATTATGATGAAGCGAAGATTCTGATAGAGTTAATGAGGTCATAAAATTTCGTTTCGAATAAATAAAGTTTGGGAGGGAAGGTTCTAGAACATTGAAATAGTGATTAGAACGTATGGAATTGAAAAATACATTAGATGATATATATATATATATATATATATATATATATATATATATATATAATTTTCTCAGGAAAGATATGAATTGAAATCAGTCAGTAATGAATGATGTAATTTTAAAATTCAGGAAGAGTTGGAATAATGAATGGCGCAATAAATAAATAAAGGGGGGGGGGTAATGTTACCAGAGCAAAGGAAGATTTATTACTGTTTCTTTTTGTATACATAAATCTTGTTTTAGACGTTTGATTGCTATCGCTTCGGCAAATTTCAAAAGGTTTGAGTCTGATTGTTTGTTAATCACCTTGAAGGACTTCAGTGTATCGACTTCGTGTCCTGTGTCAAGGAGATGTCTTGCGATGGCACTGCTGAATGTTTTTAGTCCGTTTGATCTTAAACTTTTCGGAATAATAATCTAATAGATGAAGCAAATGATTTTATACAAATAGAAAAATCCATTAAGCAAGCTGCAACACTAACGGCAAATCCCCGAAAATCAGCGACTAAAAGATGAGATCAAGCACAGAAAGAAGTTAAGACTTCAATGGTAGCTTCTTCCGTGTCATTAGTTATTATACAGAGATCATCGGTGTATTCTAAATGTTTGATTGACCAGGATTCATTGTTCTGATCTTTCAGGTCAATTTCTTTCAAAGTGCAAACAATTGTGTGTTCTAGAATACGTTTGAAGACTAGATTGAACAGGATAGAACCTTCTTTGCTTCCCTGTTTTACTCCTCTATACATGGTGAAGTTTAATTTTGTGTTTCTTAGTAAGCCTTTTGGATTGTCTAGCAGTTTTGCTATGCACGAGTTTATGATTTGTGATTGACATGCTTCTGCTATGTATACAAAAAGAAACAGTAATAAATCTTCCTTTACTCTGGTAACATTACCCCCCCCCCTTTATTTATTTATTGCGCCATTCATTATTCCAACTCTTCCTGAATTTTAAAATTACATCATTCATTACTGACTGATTTCAATTCATATCTTTCCTGAGAAAATAGTGTGGAAATATCATCAGTATCGAACGTTGAACAATCGCTTTATCCACTTTTGTAAATTATCTAACACCTTGGTAAAAGACACATCAGATATACCAAAGATGAAATCCAGCGTAACATAAAGCCATCTACACAAGATTTTACTTTTCAGTAATAGCTTGTTATTTTAGTTTATTAAACAAAAGGTAAGAAAAAGGAGTTCCTGATAACTGGCGAAACATGTGTTTCTTATTATAACATTCTTTTTCGTTGACTCAATGAAAACTTCCACCTATTAGGCTACCCTATTCAAAAATCATTCGAAATTTCGTTTTATAGTTTATCGGTTGATATTACTTCCACATAGTTTAGTATCTTAATCTGTGCATTAGCTTTTCAGTTTTAGTCACTAATTAGGCACAGTAGTACCGGTTCGAGAGCAAATTGTATGAGCAAGAATTCAAATAATGAATCTAGGGTGACAAGTTTTTCATTTTGAGTCCTACTAGCAAACGACATATGTACATTTATTCCTTGGACAAACCAGACATAAAGTCTATCGATTTGAATGCATTCATAGTCAATGTCAATATAAATTTGTCAATTAACAGAGATAAATCAAATAGGACAAAACCACATATATATTTTTTTTTATTTTACATTGAAAACATTAAACATTATAATTGTAAATAATAAAACTAACTCACATGATAATTGGTACTATTAATAGATGAAGGTTTGTTTGAATTACTAAGAGAATTTTTAGACATTGATATATTTGTTTGAAATGTTTGGTGATGAGAAAATAATGAATCCAATGAATTTAATTTAATGGGAGATGTTTGTTTATTAACATTTTGCGGTTTAGAATTTTTGAAATCCTAATTTTGTTCATATTTATACAAAAATAAATAGAGAGTAGTTAGGACAGTATATTGATAAAATAAATTAAAATAATGATAAAAAATAAAATAAGGAATAATGTTTAAATTGTGAAAGCTTTTTGTTGTGAAAATAGCTTTAAAAATGGTCTAAAAGTTCATTGTTCACTAACGTCTGATAAGTTAATATAACTGCTCCTTTTCTATCTGATCAGGGTAAATTGAATATACAAAACTAGGGAAAATAACACACATGGGGTACGATCGTATTAATACACTTTTCATCAGCCTTGTTTATTCATTAGTCCATCAGTCTCGAAGTTTATTATACAGGTTTACCTACGATAATCAAGATGAAATCACAAACTAGTAATATTACAGCATTAATCAACCAATAATGCAAGGCATAGTTTGAGCACGAGGAAACTAAACTACGTGAACTTTGATCAAAAGTAACAATAGTAGACTCGGGTTTGGCTAAAAATGTAATGATTTAGTTTACTTTACTTTACCAATCATAACTGATGACATACTGAATTAAACGGTTGAATAAAAGATTGGAATGATTTGATAACAAGTTAAATTTACTCTTTATAACAAAGCGTATGAAATAAAGGACCATCTATAAATGATCACCATTTTTATGCTCACATATTCAGAAACGCCGAATTCTTACACTAATTAACATGCTTCGTCACCGACCATAAAAATGTTTATTTCATTTACAGGTTTACGCGTTCGGATTTAAGTTTAACACTGTGTTCTGAAGATACAGCTCGGCTGCTCACAGCGAATTCAATGGGATGAGATATGGACATAAGACCCAGTGATCAAAACACTAAACTAGCACTCACAAATTAAAATACAACACAAGCATGCATCTTTTTAAGTGGCTACATTTCATCTCAGACAAGGAAATAAATTAAGCAATCTTTTCCTTTAAATTTTAGATATTTTTACTCCCATTGACTAAAGTCTGCTAAAATATGTGAAAATTATATTTGAAATAATCTCAGCGACTGAAAATGGCTATTGATGTTAAGCTATCTATTTTGAATTGCTACACGTTATCAATAGTTTTTACAGTGTCAGTAAGCTATACTAACGACTAGAATCCTGGTTAAGCTTCATGAAACATTCTACATCAAAACTTAGGGTAAACAACTACAATCTAAAGGACAAGTGCCCATGACAATTCGCAGATGTGAATTCGTGTTAATATTCACCTGATATCCTAGCTGGAATGCTTGTCCGATTGTAATAATTACATCCTGGGCAAGACCATCTGAACATTCAAAAACGTAACACATACGAGTGTCTTGATCTGTTTTGGCCACATAACAAATGAAATCTGGTGTATCTGCATCCCCAGCGGAAGCAAAAGAAACCAGGAATAGGTTGTGCTGGAATAATAACTGAATAAATAAAACAAAAGAAATAATTATTAAATAACGTCAAGTGAACATATATTATTATACGTTAAAATAAGTTCACCCACCACTAATTATTGAAGTAAATACTGACGCATATTTTACCAAATTGCGAAGACAAATACCTATTTTGGCCAATTAAATCTAAGCATGATAAATTCCAATGCAAAAAGAAAGGAAAATCAATAGTAAGTAAAGCGTAGGAAATCACACGGTCAGAAACATTTATGTTGATAAAGAGATCGAGAAGCAAACGAGTGGAAAAATGGAGAACTGTGGGAAGCTGTAGTATCTTAGTCATAAAAAATAAAAAAAGTACTATGATCGACTATTAAATGTTAGCTCAAGCTGTCAGCTCTTACGTTTACTACTAATTCGAAGGTCGTACCCAACAAGTACGCATGCCAATACGATTGAGGATAATAGCTTGCGGTCTTATGAAGCTTCGCACTCAGAGCTGGAATCAGTCAGTCAGCAACAACGTAGAATTTCGGACATACACATATCAGTTTGAGTTGCCATACCACATTAGCACAGAGATGCAGTTGTCTATTCAAATCCCATAGTGCTAGAGGTAGTAAAAGTATAAGCAGTAATCGAAAAGATTAGGGTTAGATGTTATTCAAGGAGTATAATCCAGTGAAATAAATATGGAAAGAGTAAAAAGAAAGGGACATGAAGAATTCAGAAGATTAGAACTTGTGAGAACACAAAGAATGGATGAATCTGCTACACTGCAAACGATTCTGAGCCATGTCATTCAGTGTTTCTAACCATCAGTTCGCGGATCCCAACCAGGTAGTCTACATCTACCAACATTGCCCAGTCTACTTGGCAGTAACATCATGGATTTGTGCCATGTTTTGTTCTGGCCGTCCATAGATTACTTCCAACCTGCTCCTACATACTAAAACATCACACGTCGGTCCAAGTTGCCATACGGCATTGGAACAGCAAGATGAACAACGGATTCATAGGATTAGTTAACACAATGTTGGCAATATATACAAGAAAGATTGCATATAAGGATATAGTACAGGAAGAAAGGAGTAGTTCGCAGAAAGAAAGGTATAAATTAATTTTAATTTCAGTGTTTAAGTGAAGACAAAGAGTGTATGCACCTACGCCATTGTGATCGATTCTCAGCCATGTCACCAAGAGTCTCCAACCATTGGTTACGATAGTCACGCGGACCATAATCAAGTAGTCTGCATCTACCGACATGGCTCAGACTAGAAGTTAGTGACTTCAAGAACTGGTACCACGTTTTGGTTTGGCCTCCCCTAACTTTCTTCCAACCATCCCCAACACCGGTCAGCATGGCGCGTCGTGGTATTCGGTGTTCAGGCATACGTAACACGTGTCCCAACTATCTCAGTCGATGAAGATTCACAACCTCATAAACTGATTTACCACCATTCCCTAATACTCTGCGTCTAACCTCATTATTACTTACCCACTGATCCCAGCAGATACGAGCAATATTTCTGAGACCTCTGTGATCAAATACTAGTAACTTACGCGTATCCTCTACCCTTGATGGCCACGTTTCACAGCCGTGAAGTAGAACAGAACGAACTGCCGCGCAGTATACTCGTTCTTTTATTGATAGACGGATATCTCGCCTTCGTCATAGGTGACGTACGTTGGCAAAAGCCAAGCGAGCTTTTCGAATCCGTGCTGAGATTTCGTCAGACACCAACCCATTAGGGCTGATCAGACTTCCAAGATAAGTGAAGTTGTCGACGCGTTCGAGTACTTCACTCCCTATCCTTAGTTCAGGTGTTGACGCAGACCAATCCTGAAGCAACAACTTGCAATTAGAGGGGAAGAAGCGCATTCAAAACATTCTGGCATTGTTGCTTAGTGCTACCAAATGACTGGATTTTATCAACGTCTTTGCCAAACAGGACTGTGTCGTCTGTGTATTTCAAGTCGATAAGTGGACCTCCTGGAAGGAGATCATTGCCCGAAAATTCAGTCGATGAGAATGTTATTTCCATCAGCAGGTCTATGATGAAGTTAAACAAAAATGGAGAAAGTGGACAGCCTTGACAGACACCACTTGATGTTGCAAAAACAGGTGACAGTTCGCCATAAGCTCTGACTCGACTAGTAGTGTTCAAGTAAAGAGCCTTCACAAGGTTTATGTACCTCTGAGGTACACCTTTCAATGACAGACACTGCCACAGAAGCTTTTGGTCTACAGTCATATGCTGCTGCTTTTCAGTCAACAAAAACTGTCATTGTCGGACGCCGATAAACATGCTTGTGTTCTGAAACCTGACGAATGGTGATTATGTGGTCGATGCAGTCACGACCAGGTCTGAAACCAACTTGATTCTCTCGTGTTTGCAGTTCATGAGCTTTTTTGGGCGTCCGATAATTATTGAGGCTAGTATTTTAGATGCCATATTAGTTAAACTAATCTCACTATAGTTGTAACCCTGTGGTTTAAATCACTAGTAGATATCACTACTATTTCCACAGCTGTTTGGATATATTTCCAAGCAACATCGTTTTCAGAACTACCTAAGTGTGACCTCAGTTGTTCATGGGATCTACTTTTGGTTTTCTCGTTACTCAATTCAGTTCCGATGGGTCTTTTCAGTATTGATTTTTTGCGTCCAGTGAGGCGCAAGCAAATGCGTGCCCGTATTAGGGCATGGTCGGAGTCCTAGCGAGTATTCCAGAATGAGCGAAAGTCTTCTATCGACCCTCTCCAACGATGACTGTTGGCATTATTGTCTACTTGAGTCCCTCGTTGGTTTGGTGCAGGAGGTCGCCATGTTAGACGATCTCTCCTTATGCTTAAAATTAGTGTTTGCTAAAAACAAACGATTGTCTGAGCACAGTTGCAGCAGATGATCACTATTATCTGTTCGCTGTCTCGGAATACTAAAATACCCACCTAAATGCCTTTCTGTTTGGTTTAAGCTACCCATCTGAGAATTAAAGTCACCTGCTACGAGTACTATGTCTGAACGTTTTTGTGAAATTCATCTTTCACTTCATCCGAGCTGCAGTCAGTGGGAGCGTTGGCTATAGTGACACTTGAGGAGGAAGCCGAAAGAGGAATTTTAGTGTTGAAAGTCGATGTAGGAGGAATAATAGGAATTGAAGAGGGCGATTGATTATGAATACAGTGGTCTTGAGTGCTGTTAGAGGTATGAGGGCGGTTATCACTTCCCGGTTGCCCACACCATGGGAGGGTTCTTATGTAGGTACCTAAATAGGAAATTGGATTAAAGGTGGTCTTAGTGACCGCAGTGCCCAAGGAACAACTGCTTGAGGTCGGTCACACACGACCTTTTTATGAGTAATTTTCGTGTTAGCTCCGACCTGTTGAGACCTTAGCACCGAGACGAATATCCGTGGGATAAGGCGAGGTGTGCATTTTTAGGGTCGACCTCTTTTAACCCCACCCCTCCTTGTAGGAAGAGAGAAACGCTGTCATGCTGGTTGTCTGGAGGAAACAACCTTACTGCTGTCACACCTCTGCACAGTCAGCAGTACGACTTCGCCTTCGGACCTTGGGTTTGCTACTTTTAGACTTACCGCTCTTCAACCGACCTCTCTGACATGATAGGACCTTGAGGAACGGTTGTTCCAACCAGCATATCTCGGTTGTTTCATCACAGTAAGCAAGCCCGACCACCACGTCAAGGTGGCAACAACGATCAGGGTGGTTGAGCATACGTAACACGTGTCCCAGCCATCTCAACTGATGAAGCTTCACCACTTCATCAATCGATTTGCCATCCTTGCCTGGTACCCGTTTCCTAACAACTATATTACTTACTCGATGGTCCCAGGATATACCAGCAATGTTTCAAAGATACTTATGATCGAATACTAGTAACCTACAAATATCCTCTGCTCTTACCGACCATGTTTCACTGCCATAAAGTAGGACGAGAAAGAGCAGCTGGTTCGGATGTCTTTGTTATAGTTATAGGACTGTAACACAACTCAGATCAAGAACACGTGATTAGCCTGGCTAGAACGTAAATATATTTCAGCACCCAAATCCGACAATTATGATAATGGTAATTGAATACATAACCCATCTAGTACCTGTCAGACTATCTACAAGTCTGACTACGGAGACAACCAGCCACTATCATTCTTGCCCAAACATTATCACCCTCGCGAAGTTTGGTCGTATGTCTTCACCTTTGTGTCCACTTGGAAAAATCTCGTTTGTTTGGTTGTCTTTATGACTTACTGCTAGGTTTTGGTTTTAGCCCATTTTTTTTCATTTCAACTTGTTGTGGTGGTAGTGGAATATTAAATGTATCACATAATATTTCCATTGACAAAGGTTTGGGTTTCGATGAATTGCTAACATTTCTATCTCTCAGTTGGTTTATATGTCTAATAATTAGTGTACTTTCAACCATCAATTCATACAATACCTTTCAACGTCATAAGAGCAATTTCTGACAGAATTATTAACAAATAATACTCATCAATTTCATAACTTAAGATTTCATCGCTTATCCAACGAAAGCATCTACCCAAAACAAAACGCAAAAATTAGATGTATCACATACCACACCATTATCAATTGTTTCAACAGTTAGTGTTTGTGATGTGATTGTAAGGTATACGTTTGCCATTGCCCATGTCATATCAGTGGATGGGCCAATGAACTGTTTTATTGACTTGTCAGCTGGTTGGTTACTTGGTAGTTTTAGACCAACATCTTCACATACACGACGTATTGATGCACTGCAAGGAGAAATATGGGAGAATTTAAGATTATGTAAACAATTCTTATTGCCTTCTAACTTGAGAGGCTAAAATACACGCATTATGACCTTAAAATCTAGGTTTATAGTAAATAACTCTGCATAAATTAAACATTACAGCGATAACAACTAGCTAAACACTCATGCCGACTGAAGTTTATGAATCAATTCTCACTATGAAATTCGATTAGTCAACATAAGGATGTAGTATTTGATAATAAATATTTCGAGAAATCAACAAAAAGCTTGAAAGCAAAATAAAAAACAGAAAAATATTATGATGCTTTATATCAACTTTACCTCACTTCAAAACAAGCGATTACAAGTAATTAGTTGGGATATTCATTTACATTACTCACCACTACATGTAAACCTTGCGTGACTACTGTGGCAAATAATTACAGAAGTTGCGTAAGAGCGTTCAGAATTGGTCGCAACAATACAGATACATTTACTATATCTTCCATTAGATTCTAACTCTTGAAATTATTTTACACCTTATATTCTGTCAGCCTATTCTTTCTGTTCGAATCACATATTCTGTCTATGCTCCTTTTTTACTTCTGCTAATATTACTTCTATTACTTTGGTATTTATCATGACTTCATTTTACTGAGTTGATCCATACATGTATCCCAGGTTCCCTGTTACTTACTGACGTATTTGAGTGTAGCATTTAAAAGCAGTTTATTCTCAGTATGTATATGAGAATTACTTACTGTGGTCTGTGTATGATCACAAGTATCAGTTTGTGATGAAGTACTAACATCGAATTTTCTATTTAAAGCTAGATATTGTCATTCACGACTTCCAAACCGATAAACACTGATGTGAGTTCAGACAACCTTCATTTAGCCAGAAACGTACTCAGTCCTTCCGTGTTCGTCTAGACTAACAAGCAGAGACTTGTTAAGCTTGGGATCCTGAAAACCTTACGTAAACATTTTGAGTTTAGAAAAATTCTGTCACTCAATAACAATATCGGTAAATACACATACAATTAATTAGTGATACCAGATTATTCAAACTTAATTAGGTAGGATACGTTACAGATCCAAAATATACTGGTTGAATTAGTAGCCTGAATCTATGCATAATGATAACCAGATATTTCTTTAGAAGCTAAATATAAGTAGAGAATCTTGAAAACACAAACTTCCAGATGGTCACAATACTCGATGTACCGGACCGTGTAGACAGTAAGATTTCTCATGAATTAATGGAATCTTTAGAAACCCTATCTTATTAAACATAGAAGCGGTAAAATTGAGGAAACAAAGGAGAAACACTATAGCACTAGAAGTATTTTAAAATATAAATGGCATTAAACTGTCATTTGTTGGTTAGATTTCCCAGACAGTGAAAATATGAACGTCAATCTAGCTTTCTTCAGGTCGCTCAAATGGAACGTTTACTCCATATCAGCAGGTGTGAAGTGATAATCGCTAGCAGTACTGAATACAAAACAAAACAACTGAGTATCAGTAGTTATGACTAAGAAGAGAATGAAAGTATAAATGGATAAATAGTAAATTAAACTGGAGATATGTGCAGTTACTTATGTTAGGACACTATACATATTTACTTTTAACAGCAGTGAATCTATCCTCACTTTTACCATTTTCAAACCTTTTACGTTTCGAAACAGAATGTATTGCCACTTTTATTGACATATAAATTTACATTTTGAAAACATCCGAATATGCTCCAGGAACATGCTTCATGCAACAAAGCATGGTAATGCGCTCCATATTTGAAGTTATTTAGACCGGAATAGACACTATATGTTGCAGTTCTTTATCTTGATGATTACTTTTCCATATAGATTAAACTAGATTAGATTTGATCGTAAAACGATAATTATGACTTTAAAAAACAGGTGAGTATTCCTACTGAATTATCCTTACAGATTACAAATGAATAATATGCTCCCAAACAAGTCGAGACTTAACTTCACGGATGAAGTGTATGTAAATATGGTTGGGGCTACCATCGCAAATGAGTTACATAATTAATACATTAGATCGTAAAAAGCAGCAACAAAGATAAATAAAATTTAAAGTCAGTCAAGCTGTTTCAAAGTTAAACCTTACCGACAAATTCGAGTTCTGGTATTTATATTCACAGATTTTATGGATGTCAGCACTGGAATGGCACCAACATATTGAAGTTCAAATGTTACCCCAGCATCGGCAGCCAGTTGTGAATCATGATGAAGCCATTGCTGTGACCTTGTTGGCTCAACTGACATGCTAAAACCCTATTAAGTCACAAAAACACAGCATCCCAAGTTAAAAGACCGCCGAATAAAAATAATCATTTAGACCTCAGAAAAGTTGTTCTTGATCAATATCAAAATTGTATGATTGGACAGAATAAGTGATCTGAAAAGCTTCTTACCGAGGCTTTGGTGGTGAATATTGATTGCAAATATACCGGTAAACAAATATGAACTACCAAAAGAATAAATGGTTATGGACTTTGTGATGAATTTTGCTGCTAGAAATCCTGTCACAAACAAGTACGAACAATGTTTTATTTTCTGTGAACCAACGGTAATGGAACAACTGGACTGGGAAAATCAAAAAAGGGAAGTGATTTAGTACTTGTCGTGATTATCTTTGCTTTTCTGTACTTATTGCTTCAAAAAGCATCCATAGTCTTAGTTCGAAGTATTTCAGTTAAGGTATGATTTTTTGATAAACTTTGTCCTGTGGTACCTTCTTTTTCATTGACTCTGACACTTGTGTTCATATAGAGTCTAAAACTCTAATCTAGTCACAATGGTTGGCAGTAATTGTAAGCGTGGACAGACAGATTTTTTATTCCCCGTCAAGTAAAGAATGCAATAAAATGAGTGTAAAAAGTGGTTCCACAAGATGTGTACCCGTTTAAGTCCAACCGCATACAAAAGAATCTTTTTCGAACATTGCTTAAAGCCTAACTAGTTTTGGCTTCGTATGTTTTACTGCACAAATAAGACGTTACTGATTCAGGAGGCCATGAGCCTATTAGCTTTATCCTGTAAGAAGAAAGACGACAGTGTTGAATCCCGATCGTATAGGCACCGTAAGGTAATCCTAGGGTCAGAGTAGCAATTTTATCTTCTTTTAAGTTGCGCTCGTTGTCACGACAGTACCGGCACTCGAGTAAAACCTGATATACCTCATGAAGATAGAATAAAAAGGAAGACAATACCAGCTGAATTAGAAAGCTGTCCACAGGAGAATTTCCGATTAGTAGGTTTTCGAATAGTCAAGTCTTGAAAAGGAATGTTATGAAGGTCTGCATGGATAGGCCATTCTCCCTAGGAGTTTAAAATGCCATTGCTCGTCATCTAAGAAATAAAGTCTAAGAACTAGAAGTATTTGTGGACAAATTAACGTCACTCATTGTAGCCCGTAACAGAAACTTGCTTAGTCCAGACTTCGACATTACTTCAGAATTATCCGGATACCACTACCTAATTAGTGATAGACATAGATGTAGAAGGGGGGGTGGAATCATTCTATACATGGTCGATAATATAAATATCCGCTCGTTTGCTTGCGAATCTCGTGATAGTGTAACTGGTGAAGTCAATAGCTGTGAGCTTGTAACAGCTTAGGTTGGTTGGTTAAGAGTTGACCCCAAACAACCAAGCATATGCCAAAACAGTATTGTTCAAGTATTCATCCACTTCCTTGTTTTGTATAAGCGTTATATTCCCTATTATCTTATATTGGATGTTGAGAGCCTTTGTTTGTCTGAACAGGTAATCCCACGCTCCACTGTCACCGCGCTGAGATCGAAATAAAGACCTATTCACTACTTCTCTGGTTTCTTCTATCAATAGCACGAGGGTTACTTTAAGGCACGAAAAGCTCACTATCAGATGTTTTACATTTATACTCTGTGTCATATATCGTAGCCCAATCTGCTTAGCTGATAACTTTATTTAAGAGCACATTCAACTATGGAGTGCAAATAACAGATACTTGATATTAGGAGATTTTGGTGCACGCGTTATTAGTTGGATTGGGGTGGTAATGGTAGGATCCATAAACTGCTTTGTCAGCAGGTTTACGGTAATTAAGCATGCATTAGTATATCATGTATCCAGACCCACTCGTTTTGGTGCTAACCAGTGTTCTTTTTGTTAGACATGGTATTTTTTCGTGTGACTGCGAGTATTGCCAACCTAAATATTCGCCCACCATTAGTGAATAGTGATCACTCCGTTTTGTTACTCACGTTTAAAGCTAGTAACATAATAAACGATCAGGTTAAACCCCGCCCAAGTATATGGAGAGCTAACATCAGCCATTCAGGGGTGCGCTGTTAAAACAGATTGGTTTGTAGATACTAGCTCATCAGTTGAAGAAGCATGGTCTATATTTAAAAGCTAGCATAAAGAAGTCGGAGATTTCGATTGTTAGTAAGAAACCTTTATACATGAATGTGCAATTCAACGGGGATGTGGCTAGTGACACTCTGAAATATAGGTTAACCAAAGTAATCACCAGGACATTCTACGCAGCCAATCTTGCGTTGACCTTCTCTTGTCGACCAGCGATGTCTACTCAAACGAAGGATAAGTTACCTGAGTTGGCCTCTTCCATGTGCATTTACAAATTCAGCTGCTCCTGTGGAGATAGCTATATAGGGCGTAATACCGGGCAACTTAACCAACGAATGAGTGAACATCTACCAACTTGGTACATAAAGGGCCAGAGAAAATCTATTCGCAGTTCTATATTGGCACATCTTATTGATAGCGGTCATGCAGTAGATAAATCGAAATCATTTCGAGTTATCTATCATATACCTCCGTCATTTCCCAACGGAGTCCGTTCCCGTCTCCTACATATAGCTGAAGCCATTGAAATTCGTACATATAACCCCAATTTATGTGTACAGACGAAATACGTGACCCCCCTATCCCTTCCATGGCCGGTTATAACCTAACTAACATTTTTTATTTTAAATTTTATTATTATCATTATTTATTTTATTCCAGTTGTGTTATCGTCAACCTTATTTCCACATCCATTAGTTGTTTGTAATTTTTCCGCCTCTTTGTATTCTTCACTATCGAATTATTTACACACATCTTATTACGTAATGATTTTAATGTTTTGTGATTACTATTCCTAGTCTATTTACCCATGTTTGTTTGACCTTCTATTTCCGACGATTAACTATTGATAAGAGTTTTGTTATTGTATTTTATTATTCTCACTATTATCAGTTCACCTGTCTTCCTACTATCAACTTGTACTTTTACCTATTATGTGTAGAGACTTATTCTATTTCATTGTGATTATTGACCCGTATTGCCTTGATTGGTTTAAAATTTTCGTATAAATATTCATGTATATTAGAGTAAAGCCTGATGACGATCTAACTGAAAACAATTGTTCGCTTATATGTGTTGTTCTAATTTTCACAATGGGAATCTTTAATATTCTAATAACACGTTGACCGAATTATAGTACAGCATAGATAACCAAACAAGTTGATAAACTTCTCAGAAGTATGAAAAAGTATTGGAATATGTTTATCTCTGCTACAGGTCCAGTTGTTTTAAGACTAGGAACGCCTGTAAATCGTTAGTAAGTAAGACCAGACAATTGAGTGAAAAACAAGTGGTTATAGATTGTAAAAATAGTCTGAAATGGTTATTCCCACATATAAAAAGGCGAACTCTGAGAACTGATAGAATTCCATCACTTTTGGTACAAGAAAATCCGTTAATATCGACAAGAGACGATGTCGTGAAAGCTGATGCTTTATCGCAATATTTCAGTAATGTGTTTTCTATCACTAATTAGTAACGACCAACGATTAAATGTGATTATGGCGGCTTGTTGATGGATCGAGAAAGGTACTGTCTTAAGACTACTTCGGCACCTCAAACCTGGTAAGTTCAGTGAATCTGATGACATTCATCTTAGGATTATGAAAGCCCTATCGGATTTAATTGCTGAACCTATAGTTGTACCGTTTGATATGTCTCTTCGACAGTCCAGGCTGCCAAGATATTGGAAAGATGCAATAATCAGTCGGGTGTATAAGACGGGAGTAGAGATTTAATTAGTAACTGTTGACCCGCCAGTCTAACCAGTGCAGTTGTGAAACTAGTGGAAAAAATTATTCGGACGGCTGTTATAAACTATGTGGAGGGACATGATCTTCTATCCAGGGAACAACATGATTTTCAGAAGGACTTATCACGTTTGACAAATTTGCTCATTGCAATAGAAGATTGGGCTGCTGCAAAAGATCGAAATATTCTTGCAGACGCAATTTTCTTAGATCTAAGTAAAGCCTTTGATAAGGTCTGCCATTCGAGTCTTAAATTAAGACTGGAAATATTTGGGATCCATTATAAGGTCATAGACTGGATAAGCAACGTTCTCCATAATAGGGAATAAGGGGTAAGTGTAAATGGGGCCCGCTCATCACGGGAATCTGTTAAACGTCGAGTATTCCGAGGCACAGTCCTCAGCCGTTCTACTCTTCGTCGATGAAACGAAGATTTGGAGACCCATACACAGTGTCAGACGGAATAGTGTCTCAACTCATTGGTGGCGGAGATGGGCGGATGGTCCTAACAAGAGTGTGGTGATGCGACTAAATAACTATGATGATCCATATCACTACGCAATACGTGGATTCGTTTTACCCAAAGTAAGAAACCATAAAGATTTAGGAGACATAAAAAGCAGCGATCTAAAAACTACTAGTAGCTGTACGGCTGCTACTGAAAGAGAATTTGTAGTATTATGGGCTATTCGTAGGTCCAGGACCGACCATTTGAGAGAACATTAGAAGCAATTTCAAACACCGAGATCAAATCGTCTACGTCTGAAGTTTCATTTCTCGCACCGAGTATTGAAATACTGAAATTCTCGACCAGAACACGTAATATCAGCACCTTCTGTTGATATATTAAAAACGAGATTGGACCTCCACCGTGTTACAAACTGCAAGCAATAATACAGGTCGATAGACCTCTCTTCCTTATTAGTGAAGATAAGTTGACGACCCGAAAACTGACAGACATACTGTACCAACCACCGGATATCAGGTAGCTGTTGATTCTTCTGTCTTAAAGATTTGCAGAGTCAGCGGAATGTTACTGAGCCCTATCCAAACCAGCCGGCGGTTGGGTCGCTGAAAACTGAGCAGTTCACCGATTCTCGTCAAGTTCAAGGATAACCAACGAGTATCAGACAAACGAACGTCCATACGGCGGTGGTCGCAATC